TAAAAACGATGAGTTTTATGTCGTATGTGTATGGTATTTTGAATGTGCGTCCATTCGGAACAAACAGGCATTGGTTAGACGAAGAACTGTTTGGAATTGGGCCTTTTAAGTTTAGAAAGTATGGTTAGTGCACACTCGCGCCTATAAATACTTGTATCTATGGGGTTCTTGTTGAAAAGCAAAGCAGGTCGTGCAGCAACTTGGGAAATAACTTGTCAGACAGCTGCAACACGTTTCGATTAGCAGCGAGGCAACGGCAACTACGGGTTGTCAGTCCATCAGTTCGTTAGCCTGCGAGTCCGACCTATCGAGCGCCGACATAGAGAGTGAAAAACAACGCTAACGACGTCAGAGCTGATGTTGTCTTGTTAATTTTTTGAGCTATTTATTTTGATGTTTTCGCTTTTACGCTCTCGTTAAAATCCAGCCAAAGTACGCGCCGGCAGAGTTCTCTTCAAGCTCATATTAATTGAGTCTGCTGGCAGAGTCAAATGGTAAGGGTGGTGGCTTTTGAGTCACCAATGACTCGCTGTGGCTGTAGTTGTTATACATACATATGTATGTATGTATATATACATATACATAAGTACATATATATGTATATATACATATACATACATACATATGTATACATTCAAAATGCAAAATTGAAAATTCGAATAACCACTTTTTGAACAGCAGATTCAAACGATAGGATGAAGATCGCTTTCCACATAGGCGTAAAGTACAAATACTTACATACATATGTACAAATGTATTAAAGAAATGGAATTAATTTTTATTAAGAGTCACGCTAACAGCTAAGCCATCAGAGTTTAGTAAATGACAAGCTCAGATGAAAATGACAACAATTTAATAAGAACAATGGAAAGCTATTGAGTAAGATCACGCTTACTCAGTTTAATGGCTGCTTTTATACTACCCAAATTCCTTTACTAACACTTACATATGTATGTATGTATACGAGTATACATAAATATAAGGCGGCCAACTTTTTCAAAAGCCAATGCGGGACAATTTAAGGTGGTGTTATTTTCGATGTGTCATATGTACAGTTACATATGTATGTAAATATTAAACACTTAAAATAATTATTCAATTTGTTTATGTTTCTTTATTTTTAAAATCATATTTTTCACACGAGTGAAACTTTTTGACCAGTACTGGATTTTTTTACCCTGTACCCGTAAGGTAAAAAATATATATTAGGTTTGCGCAAAGGAAGCATCTCCGACCCCATATGGTGTATATATTCTTAATCAGCACGACGAGAGAAATCGATCAAAGTATGTCCGTCCGTCTGAAAACGGTTGAGCGCGCATTAACCAAATAAGCAACATAAACCATATTTGCAAAGATAATTTATATATACATAAATATTTTTTTTCTCAAATTTTATGAAAATCGGTCAATTCTAAGTTACCGAAACAATTTTACTCCAGTACTACATCGGCAAACTGCAGCATCAAGTTTTCTTCTGCTAGGGACGCATGAGCTCATTGCCGGAAGTTAGTCTGGATACAGGGTATTTCACTGTCGGGCTTGCTTAGCGTTCTCTCTTGTTATTTATAATGTCATTAAATTGTCCGCAACTGCCAATATTATAAGTATATTAAAAGAAATGTGTCCACTTTTAGTGACGTTTCAATGAAAATAAAAACAGAGAAGGTACTGGATGATAGATAGGCAATTTTGCATTGGTATTCCTTTTTCTCTTAGATTATTAAGCACCTCAATTCACCGCTGTTTTGTCAAACAGGAGAGCAGGAGGAGGGGATGCAGTAGACAAGAACAATGGTTTTCTATCTCTTACTCTATTATATTATGTATTTTAATGCGGGACATGCGGGACGCGTTTCAGTTTTTTCGGGACTATTTTATTCGATGGTTGGCCGCCTTACATAAATACATGTGTACATACAAGTATGTCTATATGAATTCGTTATAAGAATAAGATGTATATTGATTGGCAAGCAAGTTAATAAGTATATTGTTAATGTTCATATACGTGTACATATATGTATGTATATATGTATGTATGTATGTACATTCTATAAATGTAGTCTAAATAAGACAGAACGCTACAGTGGGGAAAGTCCGACAGTGAAATACCCTGTACCCCGATAAACTTTCGGCACTGATTTACATATATGCGCCCATAGCAGAAGCAAAAATAAGAAGAGAACTTGGTGCTGCAGCTTGTAGTACTGGAGTAAAATTATTTCATTAATAACATTTCTTAGAATTGACCGATTTGAATGAAATTCAGAAATTTGTATATATGTAGATTACGTATGCAAAGTTCGCTTTATGTAGCTTTTGAAATATGGACAGTATTAAACTCGAATAGACTAGGGCCTAGCAGCGTCTACGTACCAAGTTCGGTTATGCGATTAGCCGTTTCCAAAATCTAGGCGTTTATCCAGACAGACAGGCAGCGCTTGGGCAGAGATTACGTGAATGGCTATAACTTCCTTCAAAATCGGCCCATCATAATGAAACTTAACAAAATCACTAACTGGAAGTAAATTTCAAGAACTACGGGAGTTATGGAAAATCACTCATTTCTGAGAGAGAGAAGGGGGAGGGAAGGAAATTCCAAAATACACATTTTATGCGTATTCATATAAGACATCTTGGAATAAAATTTTGTGTACATAGGTCTTATAGTCTCCGAGCTATAGATGATTATACGAACGGCATTACGAAAAATACCCATTATAAGGGGGATTGGGAGGGAAAAACAAAAGAAATAAAATAAACTTGCACAGCGTACATCTTTGTGCAAAATTTTGTGACTAGCTCTTAGAGTCTCTGGATCCAGGTGCTTATACGGTCAGATGGACGGACAGCCAGGAAGACAACGCTAGATCGATTCGTCTTGTCATGCTGATTAGAATATATACACTTTGTGGGGTCTGTTATTCCTCATTTTGCCTTTTAGAATTTTCATTTCCCGCAAACCTAGTATACTCTTTTATGTACGGTGTATAAAAAACCGGAACTGAATTTTAAGATAGAGTAAAATCATAGCACATAAGACAGCATTGAACTACCTGGAATTTCACCAAGATGTTTGAGCGATCAACCTATAACAATTTGTAGACTACCTACCTGAGTGGCTGGTTTGTTAACAAGCTGCCTGATACGCATCGCCTAATGCGTTTTCGCTCGGTCAGCACCTGTCTTTGGCGACAGGTATGCATAACAAGTCCATAGCTTTTCAATAGTTTGTTTGTAGTATGTAACATGTACATAAGTAAGTATGAGATTAAAAATAATAAATGTTTCAAGTTGGGGCAAATGGGCCAATCATTTCAATAAATATATGAACGGCTGAATGTGATGGTTAAGTAAACTTAAAATAATCCTCAATTTGACTTCGCTGCTGGGTGGTTGTTAACATAAATCAAGAAAAATCAGATATTCTGTATTCTGTATTCTATATTTCTATATTGCTGCCATTGATCTGTTTAGCTGAATCGCTTCGCTCATTGTATGGCGGTGATTTTCTGTTCTCGGAGCGGGAATTCAGCGTTCGCTCCGGTTGAATAGTAACTACAAAATCCACTCAAAATCCACTCAAAAGGCAGCTCAACAGCGCGTTACGTCCAAGAAAAAGAGAAATAAACTCGTCTAACCGGTATGACTGGTACTAATGTCTCACTGCGTCTGCATTACTTCGATGTTTAACAAAACAGACATGATGGCAGTATGGCAATAGTATATACAGGTAGGTAGATGCAAAACATGGTTCGTCAGCCACTTTATGTACACATGTACATACATATGTACCATGTATTTATATTATAATGTGTATATTGAATATTATTTTCAATTTAGTTTGATTAAATACATATTAACAGGTATACACGTACATACATACTGTAATATTAAGATTTTAAAATCTTTATTCTCCCCTTGCATCAGACTAATGCATACGAGTACATACATATGTACATATACAAGTACATACATATGCATATTTTACAAACCGTGTACATTTTTTGTTGTTATCAATAATTAGGCTGTATAATTTTTTTGCTCTGTACTTATGCCCACAGATTTAAAGGGTATAGTTTAGTACAAATGTATGCAATTCTTTACATTTTTGTACCTAATTTGACAATTGCATTCTGTTACGTGAACTTCAAATGAGAGTTCACACCATCTGTACCACCAGTTGTTGTTGCTTTCGAAGTGCACAGTCCGAACTGCACACATAAGCATAGACCCAAACTCGGTGAAAATTTTGTTGAAGTTCCAAAAGTACGTGTACATACATACATACATTTGTACTCATATAGTATGTAGGTGATAGTCGGGCCCACGCGGCTTTAGAATTCCATTTATATTTTAATTAATGATTTGTCATACACATATGTATGTATGTACATAGATAAATACAATAAAAAATCCGCAGCCTATTAGTTAGTAGTTATTAGAGAAGTGTACCTGCGAAAATGTATGTATGTATTATAACTTAGCATATTCGGTAAGCATACTCATGATTGTATTAAAATGGTATCTAAATCAAAAGTAAATGTATATAATAAGGAAATATTAAAAAATATAAGTAAAAAGCATGTTGGGCTGCTACTTCTTGAATTTACCAATGTGGCTTAATCTATTGTGAATTGGATAGCCTTGTTTGTTTAGCGCTCAACACAACTAACCCGAGTGCATATTCAATACATAATTTGGCCCTCTTTTTGCCGTCAAGCAAGTTAAAGCCACAGCCACTGTGTGCGTATTCAATGAGCACTCGCTTACGCTCATCATTTGAGTTGTTTTGAACTTCACTCAAATGCCAGTGGTGGCTATGACTGTGGCTGAGCAGCACTTGCTGATGTAAAACATTGAGTATGAGAGATCAGTTGTCAAGTTGTCTTCGAGACGAGTGCGCGTGCTCCATCTACGTCAAATGAGAAATGAAAAGAAAAAAATTTTTTTCAGATATAATGGAAAATTGGCCAAATGTGAAGTTTTTGAAAGTTTTTTAACACCAAAATTTTAATACTACGTCAGCACTCTAATAACCAACGGATATTTCGCAACACTAGGATTACGGTTACGGCGCGTACGACTGTATTTTATTCAACGACAAAAAAACAAATACAAATTTTAATTACTTTAATTTATTTTATGTGTGTGCCGTTTGCGCTGAATGTGCGATACCAAAAATAATATAAAACCACAAAGAACAAAAAAATAAGCATGAGTATAAAAAAACAGAAGTAAAAAATTGTGCCCCGCTCAAAGTTTGCACAGCGAGGCGAAAGCACTGGCACCGCTCAACTTTGCAGTAACATCGCAGGAGAAAAGCCACAACATGCTAGCACACCATATGCAATACGTGCTCATCGCTTGCTGCGCCATCCCCATCTTTGGCGCTGCGCTTTCCAAAACAGTGCTTCATCAGGCGCCCGATGAGTGCCGCTGGTCAGGCGTCGGTGAGAACGATATTACCCTGGTCTGCCACCTGCGCACTATAAACTCGGAGCTGGAAAACACAAACTTTAGCGTCATTCAGCCACAAAATACAGTGCGGCTACGACTTCAATGTAATGATGCGCTCTTCTTTCAGAGCAGTCTTAGCTCAGGCAGTTTTCAATCGCTGGTCGAGCTGCGCGACCTTACAATTGAGTACTGCAAGTTGGCAAATTTAACGGACGGGTCATTTCGCGGGCTGCACGAGCTACGCAATCTCACCATACGTACACACAACGGTGACTGGTCTACAATGTCGTTGGAGATGGCCTCCAACAGCTTTGCAGACTTACGCCAACTGGAACGACTGGATCTTAGTCTAAACAACATTTGGCTCGTACCTGATGGCGTTTTGTGCCCACTTCAAGCACTGCAGCATCTGAATACTTCATATAATAAAATCCAGGACATCAGTAACTTTTATTTTAGCGCTTCGCTAATTTCCAGAAAGGCGCGTGTCTGCGGCTCTACATTGCGAACATTAGACCTTAGCGCTAACAAAATTATAAGCTTGCCTTCGGCAATGTTATCGGCACTTAATCGATTGATGTACTTAAATGTGGCTCGGAACAGTATGAGTTTTTTGGCTGATCGAGCATTTGAGGGTCTACATTCTCTACGCATAGTTGATCTCTCGGCAAATCGTTTGACATCGCTACCACCGGAGCTATTTTCCGAGACAAAAAAGCTAGAGGAGATCTTTTTAAGAAACAACTCGATAAATGTTTTAGCTCCCGGCATATTTGGTGAGCTTCCTGAATTGGTGGTGCTCGATTTATCCAGAAATGAGCTTAGTTCGCAATGGATTAATGCAGCAACTTTTGTAGGTTTAAGGCGTTTGGCCAAGCTCGACCTATCATTCAATAAAATCAATCGCCTTGAGATGCACATTTTCCGTCCATTGGCAAATCTGCAATTACTGAAGCTTGAGGGAAATTATATTGATCAGCTGCCCTTAGGTATATTTTCCGATCTCAGTAAGCTGCATACTCTGATACTTTCCAATAATCGACTATCGGTCATAGAGCAACGCACCCTAGAAGGTCTTAATGAATTGCAGGTCTTGTCTCTTGACTACAATCGCATAGCCAAGGTAGACAGCATGGCACTGTTGAATTGCAGCCAGCTTCAGGATCTGCATTTAAATGGGAATAAACTGCAAACGGTACCACCGGCGTTTAAACACGTGCCATTGCTTAAAACACTAGATGTGGGTGAAAATTTGATAAGTCAGCTTGAGAACACGAGCATTATTTCATTAGAGAATTTATATGGCCTCCGCATGACAGAGAACGCTTTGACGTTCATAAAACGAGGAATCTTCGATCGCATGCGCTCACTGCAAATCCTGAATCTTTCCGGCAATAATATAAAAAACATCGAAGCCGGGGCGCTACAACACAATTCACAACTGCAGGCTATTCGTCTGGATGGCAATCACTTAAAGGGTATAGAGGGGCTGTTTTCGGAGTTGCCCAATTTAGTTTGGCTCAATATATCCGGAAATCGATTGGAGAAATTTGATTATTCACATATTCCCATTTGTCTGCAATGGCTTGATGTTCGCGCAAATCGGATTACACAACTGGGGCACTACTTCGAGATAGAGAATCAGCTAAGACTTAGTACATTTGATGCTAGCTACAATTATCTGACTGAGCTAACAGCTAGTTCAATTCCTAACAGCGTGGAGGTGCTATACCTCAACGATAATCAAATCAACAAAATTCAGCCCTACACGTTCTTTAAGAAGCCCAATCTCACACGTGTAGATTTAATACGCAACAAGCTGACAACACTAGAGCCGAACGCTTTGCGTCTTTCGCCAATTGCAGAGGATCATGCCATACCAGAATTTTACATTGGCCACAATGACTTTGAATGTGATTGCAATCTTGACTGGCTACAAAAGATCAATCGGGAATCACGCACGCAGCCGCAGCTCATGGACCTCGAACAGATTTATTGCAAGCTTTCCTATGCTCGAAAAGCGACGCATGTATCGCTAATCGATGCTAAACCAAATGATTTCTTATGTAAATATGAATCGCACTGCTTCGCATTGTGCCACTGCTGTGATTTCCAGGCCTGTGATTGTAAGATGGACTGCCCCAGCCGCTGTGATTGCTACCATGATCAATCGTGGACTTCAAATGTGGTTGACTGCTCACGTGCTGCCTATACTCGTGATCTTCCCGGGCATATACCCATGGATGCAACGCAGTTGTATTTAGATGGCAACAACTTTAGGGAGCTCCAGAGTCACGCATTCATTGGACGCAAGCGTCTAAAGATACTTTATTTAAATCATTCAAGCATTGAAGAATTAAATAATCGCACTTTTTATGGGTTGTTGGAATTGGAGGTATTACAGCTGCAGCACAATAGACTGAATAAACTCAACGGAAATGATTTCCAGGGTCTGGATAATCTGAAAGAGCTCTACCTGCAGCACAATTATATATCTATAATCGACATGTTAACTTTTACGCACTTGTATAACTTAAAGATTCTCAGACTGGATCACAATATGATTAGCACATTTGCTGTGTGGAACTTTCTGCCTTCCTACCTTAATGAGCTAAAACTGGCTAACAATCCTTGGAGTTGCAAATGTGATTTCATAGACAAGTTTAGAGATTACATAAATCGTCATGAAACAGTGGCCGATCGCCAAAAGCTACTCTGTCAAAGAGCCAGTGAGACAGTTCACACTAAACTTGAAAGGTTCGCCATATATCTGGAGACAGAAGACCTAGCGAAAGTTGTGCAGTGTGGGTCGACATTGCCATTTAACCCGGAAAACAATGCAGAACGCTCTGAAATGGGTTACACTAACGAGCTACCTTTGGCGAGTAACACAAATTCCACCAAGATGATTTTGACTCGGCCGCCCAAACATGAATTTGTACCCATACTTGTCGCCATATTAGCCACGTTTATTTTTGCCCTGATATGCATTTTACTGCTGTTCATTTTTCGGCAAGAGGTGCGGGTTTGGTGCCACTCACGCTTTGGCGTGCGTTTTTTTTACAACAGTCAAAAAGATGAAGATAAGAACGAGCGTGATAAGTTGTTCGACGCTTTCATTTCCTACAGCTCTAAAGACGAAATGTTCGTGATCGAGGAGTTAGCGCCCTTGCTGGAATTGGGGAAAAAACATTATAAGCTGTGTTTGCACCACCGGGATTTTCCAGTCGGTGGTTACGTACCTGAAAACATTGTGCACGCCATCGATAGCTCTAGGCGTACCATCATGGTAGTCTCCGAGAACTTTATAAAGTCAGAGTGGTGCCGCTTCGAATTTAAATCAGCTCACCAAAGCGTTCTAAGGGATCGCCGACGACGGCTCATTGTAATTGTTTTAGGTAAAGTTCCGCAAAAGGATTTGGATCCTGACTTGCGCCTTTATCTCAAGACCAATTCGTATCTACAATGGGGCGAGAAGTTATTTTGGCAAAAGCTGCGCTTTGCTTTGCCTGACGTGCCGCATAGTCTACGTGGTGCATCTAGCGGTCAACCCTGCCACGGACCTCTCAGCCATGTTACCTATCATACTCATCACCACGTTCATCAGCAGTCGCCTCAGCCTCAGTCACATCATCATCAGTTTATATTGCCCCAAGCGCCACACTTGGCCAGCGGGATTTGCGAACCAAGCGCCGGGGCAGGCAGTATGCAACTGCTGGCGCACAAAAACAACAATATTGGCAGCAATCAACAGCAGCAAGCGGCTCTGCTAATGGATAGAAGTGGGACGATTCTGCTAAATGCTCCATCCAATCCGCAAATGATACCGCTTGAAAGCAGCATTCAGAAGCACAGCCTCCCACTCCCTCCCAACCAGCAGCACCACCGTAAAGATGTCCCCGTAATTCTTGCTGCGCTGACACCGGCTCGCAATGTGCATATGTGATCACCTCATTGACGCTGCAGGTTATTATACCCTGTACCCTTATGGTAAAGAGGGTATATTAGGCTTGTGCAAAGTATGTAACACGCAGAAGGAAGCATCTCCGACCTCATAAAGTATATATATTCTTGATCAGCATGACGAGGGAAATCGATTTAGTCGTGTCCGTCCGTCTGGATGAACGTCTAAATAAATTTTACTCCAGTACTACACCCACAAGCTGCAGCATAAAGTTCGCTTTTCTTCTTCCTCTTTTTGATTCTGCTAGAAGCGCATATAACTCAGTGCCGAAAGTTTGTCTGGGCACAAGGTATTTCGCTGTCGCGCTTGCCCGACTGTAGCGCTCTCTCTCTTGTTATACTCTGTACATGAAATGTACAAGAGTATATTAGGTTTGCGGGAGCTGAAAAATGTAACAGGCAGAAGGAGGCGTGGCAGACCCCACAAAGTATATATATTCTTGATCAGCATGACGAGACGAGTCGATCTAGCCCTGTCTGTCTGTCTGTCCGTCTGTCCGTCTGTCCGTCTGTCCGACTGTCCGTCTGTCCGTCTGTCCGTCCGTATGAACACCTGGATCTCAGAGACTATAAGAGATAGAGACACCAAATTTTGCACAAAGATGCGTTATGTGTGTATTCTATACGAGTTTGTTTTATTTTTTTGATTTTCCCCCCCACTTCCCCCCTATGGGGGTTTTCCCGATTTTCCATTCGTATAATCGCCTATATCTCGGAGACTATAAGACCTAGGAACACCAAATTTTAGTCCCAGATGCCTTATGTGAATATGCAGAAAATGTATATTTTGGAATTCCCCTCCCTCCCCCCTCTACCCCGCAAATCGTAACTCCCGTAATTCTTGGAATTTCGAACTAAAATTTTGGAAATACCCCCAGTTGGTTATTATGTGTCCGTATGCCAAATTTCACTATAATAGACCGATTTAACAAGAAGTTATAGCCATAAATATATTTGCTGCTGCAGCGCTGCTCAAGCGCTGCCCGCGGTTGTTGTTGATGTTGCTGTTTGGTTGACTGCGAAAATGCTTACACAGACACGAATAGATGCGCATAGGCATACATACACTCACACAGACGCAATTGCTATGTAAATGTGCAATTATACACCCTTTACGTGAGTTCGAATACCGAGAGAGGTAAAATCGATCAAATATTTTTTTATTTTCTATAATTATTGTAAACATATGTACAGAGTATTTCAAAGTCGGGACACCCGACTTTAGCTTTTTTACTTGTTTTTTTAATCAGTATGCAAACAAAAACAACAAAAATGAAGTATGTAAGCTGGAAAGATCAGAATGAATTACCTTACCATGCTCTATTTTTTACGAGCCATTCTTTGTTTTTTAAGATTCCAAACATTTATGTTGCATACAAGACATCCAGTACCACATCAGCACCACCAACACAGTCAAAAGGTGCTACCCAAGCAGGCTAATGTATTAAAGTATATATGTACTTTTTCAAATTGTTTTAATGCCTAATATTATTTTTTAATACTCTTGCTGTAAATGTTTTTTGCAGTTACAGCGTTTTAGATTTGATTCTTCACTGTTAAAATTTGTTTCTATGAATAATATTTATTGGTATTTATGTAAAGGCGAACACGATATTTTAATTTGCAGTTGTTGCAGTTCCTTCCATATTCGTGATTTAAGCTGTACTTGAACTTATTACTGTATACAGTTTTGATATATGTATACACATACATATACACATAAATATGTACATACAAGTACATACGTATAGTATATGCATAAAAAAGAGCGTTCCATAAGTAATAATATATGTAGATAATTTTGACCGTCGAATTTCTCCTCGGTTGTGTGAGCTGTAAGCAAATGACAATTGCCTTGCAACATGCTTAATAATTGTGATATTTTGTTAATTAAATACGCGTAAGTTATACATATATGTAATTGTATATACAAACATAAATATGTCAACTAGATATTTTTAGATTACTTAAATAACTGCAATTCCCATAAGATTGCCTAACTGGCCACACACATACATACTATACATACATAGGTGTTGCCATATTAGCTTCTTGTATAAGTGTATGCAAATATAAATATGTATATTCAAATAAATTGAAAGTCTTAATTTATATCAATGACTGTATTAACTGTATTTACAAGGAATTGACTGATAAAATTTGTTGCACATATTGTATATGTTAAACCCATTAAATGTATATTTTGGTATATTGATTATTAAATTGTTTAGAAGTTAAAACACGATAAAAATACATAATATAAATACTTAAATTGAAAAATGCAAAGCACCATTGTCCATGTTTTTGTACTTTTGGGTTTTATACTCAGTACTTAAAATGTACAAGAGTATATTAGGTTTCCGGGAGGTGAAAAATGTAACAGGCAAAAGGAGGCGTGCAGACTCCACAGAGTATATATGTTCTTGATTAGCATGACAAGACGAGTCGACCTAGCCCTGTCTGTTTGTCTGCCCGTCCGTAAGAATACCTGGATCTCAAGATATATACACAACAGGTCGGCTAATAAGCAATACTACAAGAAGAGTATATATATTCTTGATCAGGGTTACAAGCCGAGTCGATATAGCCATGTCTGTCTGTCTGTCCGTCCGTCCGTCTGTATGAATGCAAGGATCTCAGAAAGTACAAGAGCTAGAAGAGTTTCTTTAATTATTTATTAACAGGCAGAAGGAGGCGTGGCAGACCCCAAGAACTATATATATTCATGATCAGCATGTCAAGACAAGTCGTCCTGGCCCTGCCTGTCTGTTCGTCCGTATGAAAACTTGGATCTCAGATATATACTATAAGTCTTAGAGTCACAAAATGTTGTACACAGATCACTTATATGTGTACGCGGTAAGAGTTTCTGCTAATTTTTTTATGCATCCCCGACTTCCCCGATAATGGGAACCTAGATCTCAGAGACTATAAAAGATAGATACACAAAATTTGTCCCAGATGCCTTATATGCGTACGCAGGACATGTGTATTTCAAAATTTTCCACCTTTCCCACACTTCTCCGCTATTAAAGATTTTCCATAACTATTGTCATTTTTGGAGCTTTTCACTCAAGTTTGGCAGATACCTGCAGTTAGTGATTATACTCTGTACATAAAATGTACAAGAGTATATTAGGTTTGCGGGAAGTGAAAAATGTAACAGGCAGAAGGAGGCGTGGCAGACCCCACAAAGTATATATATTCTTGATCAGCATGACGAGGCGAGCCGATCTAGACCTGTCTGTCTGTCCGTCTGTCAGTCTGTCCGTATGAACACCTGGATCTCGGAGACTATAAAAGGTAGAGACACCAAACTTTGCACAAAGATGCGTTATGTGTGTACGCTGTGCAAGTTTGTTTTATTTTTTTTTATTTTCCCCTGCACTTCCCCCCTATGGGGGTTTTCCCGATTTTCCATTCGTATAATCGACTATATCTCGGAGACTATAAGACCTACGGACACCAAATTTTAGTCCCAGATGCCTTATGTGAATACGCAGAAATTGTATATTTTGGAATTTCCCTCCCTCCCCCCTCTCCCATGCAAATTTTCTCGAACTCCAGTAATTCTTGGAATTTCGCACTAAAATTTTGCAAATACCTCCACTTAGTTATTATGTGTCCGTATGCCAAGTTTCATTATGATAGACCGATTTAACAAGAAGTTATAGCCATAAATATATTTTTTGCCCAACCGCTGCTCAAGCGCTGCCCAAGCGCTGCCCGTAGCTGTTGTTGATGCTGATGCTTTGGTTGATTGTCATCATGCTTACACAGACACGAATAGACGCGCATAAACATACATACACTCACATAAGCGCAATTGCTATGTAAATTACGTGAGTTCAAAAACCAAATGAGCTAAAATCGATCAAAAAAAATTTTTTTTAATTCTCTTATTTTTATACCCTGTACCCGTAGGGTAAAAAGGGTATATTAGGTTTGTGCAAAGTATGTAACATGAAGAAGGAAGCATCTCCGACCCCATAAAGTATATATATTCTGAATCAGCATGACGAGAGAAATCGACCTAGACATGTCCGTCCGTCCGTCCGTCCGTCCGTCCGTCTGTCCGTCCGTCTGGATGAACGCAAGGATCTCGGAAACTATAAAAGCTAGAATAACCAAGGTTGGTATCCAGATTTTCCTAGGTCCGAGAAACGACGAGTTTATTTTTTTTTTTAATTTCTCCCCCCTTCCCCCGCTGCAGAATTTCGTCAATAGCGTCCACATTTCAAATGCTACCTAAAACTTTGCACACATAATTAATATATAATTGTCTACTGTTGTATAAAATTTTATTCAATTCGGTCAATTCTAAGAAAAGTTATTAGCGAAACAAATTCTCGCCAGTACATCCCCCCCAAACTGCAGCAACAAGTTCGCTCTTCTTCTTCCTCTTTTTGCTACTGCAATGGGCGCATATAACTCAGTGACGGAAGTTTACCTGGGTACAGGGTATTACACTGTCGGGCTTGCTCGACTGTAGCGTGCTCTCTTGTTTTTAATTTCTATAATTATTCTAAACATATGAACAGAGTATTTCAAAGTCGGGACACCCGACTTTAGCTTTTTTACTTGGTTTTAGTTTCATCATGATAGGTTGATTCAAATGGAAGCTATAGCCATAAATCTCTGCACAAGCACTGCAGATGTTGTTGTTATTGCAAAGCTACAGAGTATTTCAAAGCAGTGGCAGCCGACTGCGTGGCGAGCGGTTGTTGTTGTTATGACAAGTAAATAAATCACGGTTTGCAACAAAGTTTTTGTGTATTTTTGAATTCAATGTAAAAGTATTTCCCTCCACAGATTCGAGGCTTTGGTAAAGAAAATAAAGGGGATTAATGTAAGCGTTTCATCAGATTTTTATACTCTGTACATGAAATGTTCAAGAGTATATTAGGTTTGCGGGAGCTGAAAACTGTAACAGGCACAAGGAGGCGTGGCAGACCTCACAAAGTATATATATTCTTGATCAGCATGACAAGGCGAGTCGATCTAGCCCTGTCTGTCTGTCTGACCGTCCCTATGTCTGTCTGTCAGTATGAACACCTGGATCTCAGAGACTATAAGAAATAAAGACACCAAATTTTTCACAAAGATGCCTTATGTGTATA